CAGGGTGGGCGTGTCCACCTCCATGGCATCCTCCCCCTTCCCCTCCTCCTCCTGGGGTGATGGACGTCGCTGATGTTTTGTTGGAGGATGGGTTGAGAGGGTTCCGTTCTTTTGCCTAGCCGTGCTGTTGTCCCCTTGCGTGCGCTGCCCTCCTCCTCCTGGTTCTTCTTCTTCTTTTTTTCAGCAACGGCCGACAACCAGACACACATATCGCGTATCGTGGTGGGGCCTCGAAACACTATCTCGCGGCTGGGACCGTAACCTTTTTGTCACCATGGACAGTGTTCGGACAACTCCTTTGTGGCTTGACCGATGCATCGTCCACATCCTAACTGCACCACACACAAATTTGGGATGTGCTCCCCCGTGTCTTGCTTACATTCAAAATCATAGAAGACGTATTTGACGTTGTCTCGTCGGTTTCGGTTGTAACATTCTTCCTCTTCCCCCCCTTCCTCTTCATCGTGGGCTTCACAGAAGGGAGTCATGTAGCAGCGATGGTCTGGGGTCACAGGTTCTTGACACTCTAAGCATGGACGTCCTTCATCTGAGCTCTCGTGATGAGCAATGGGGGTCTCCAAGACGCGGAAAAGCTGAAAACAGGTCAGGCACCTGTGAATCGATTGACAGGCGCTGGGTTTTCCAACTGACGGTGACTGGAGATGTTGGGTGTAACAGTGTTGATTTGTGAACCATCGTTGACATGTTAAGCAAGGGATCCCATGCTCTTCCTTGGGCCTGCAATAGCTGGAGTGGAGGCAGCAGTGACAGCGGTATTGCTTGCTGCAGGGATGTTTTTCGGGATAATCGTAACGGTGGTCGCAGAGTTTGCGGTAATGGTTAGACGCATAAAAGGCTGGCATGGAAGTGATCACATCATAGTGGTGCTCATGATGGAATAAATGCAGCACGGTGGCGTTGGGTGGACCCTCATCACACTTGTACATCAGTCTCCGGTCCACCTCTTGACTGTAGACTTTCAGTTGATAGTTGATTTTGGCCAAGGCACGTCCCACGCATGCTAGGTCGTCCAGGCCCTGACAGGGACCTTCAGGAATGTCAAGGCGCTCTGCCCTAATGCCTTGAACGTCGACTCAATTCGTTCTCATCAGTCTCATTCGCTGGTTGGTCCATTCTTGGGTCAGAGGGTTGGGCTTCTGGGCATAATGCTGTGCCACCACAAGGGCCCTTGCCAAACAGGATTGATCTTCGTTCTTGATCCGTACAATACCCCTTTTTCATTAAAAATGCTTCAAGTCCAACCATGTTTTTCAGATGGTGGCGGCCACTGCCTGATCCTAGCCAGTCAGGATCTGCTACGTGTACTAAGGTCACAACCATGGTGGCATCGATGTTAAGGGCTTTGCTGGACTGTTGGACTTTTTCCACGGCATGTAAAATATCTAGGCCATGGAGACCGGTCAATCGGTCTGGTGGGACACAAGAAGAAGCTACAGCTACACTATCTCTGTGAGGAGAATGTGAATCAGAGCAACGCGAATGGTGTAGCATGGCTGGCTGCCTAGGAGCACGTTTCCCGTTTCCCGTGTTCCTGTTCCGGTTCCCGGTTCCAGTTTGTTTTCCAATGGCCCTTTTCAGGGCCACCCATCTTTCCCGAAAGAAAACTTTCATCCTTTGCTTTGCCAACACAAACAATGACAATCCAAAAGAACATCCTCCCCAGTCCTCTTGGAGGGACACGCCTACGAATGACACCATGTTTCTATGTATGTTTGTATGTATGTATGTATGTATGTATGTATGTATGTATGTATGTATGTATGTATGTATGCGTACATGCATGACACCACCTTTGCATGGAGACACGAGTAAAACATAACGTATGTCTATCGACCTCTCTCTCTCTATCCTTATCCATCTTAATATTATAAATAATAATATTTATAAACATCTGTTTAAAGACATGCATCGGCATGGATGAGCGAGTGACAACATCACGTATGTCTATAAAACAAACAAAAAAACACCCAAAACAACGTCTGTTTGTAGTCACGAGTGACATCACGTTTGCATGGAGACACAAAGTACATCACGTAGGCATTCCTACATTACGTTCATGTCTGTCCATGGCGGTCCACCTTTACAATTCAGATGATTAATCTGCAACATGATCGTGGTGGCGGTACATAACTACCAAAAAAAAAGGGATCGAAATCTGACCAATCAGAGGCTTTGGTTTTGGACCAATCAGAGGCTGCGCTCGGCCGGTGCTGACCTCTGATCGGTCGAACCAGGGTTGTGCTTTCTCTCCCATGGTAAAATCCATTTCCTATGGAAAAGAAACACAAGGGTCGGTCCGGTTTGGAAAACCAGGGCTCAGGTCGGGCACCGGAACATGGAGACAGAAGCATTGCCACCCCCTCCTCCATGGCAATGCAACAAGTGTCAAGGCCGCCTGCCTGTCTATGCTCTTGGGACCAGGGGTCCGGAAACCGTCATATGCGCCGGACATGTCCGATTGGGAATCTCAAATGTCCGGTTTAAAATATTGCTTACCGGACATTTAAATTTTTCTGTCCGGACATTTTAAAAAGTATTGTCCGGACATTCTTACATTTTGACGGACATGATCAACAGTTAGGACTGAGCAGTTTCTGTCTGCAGTTGTAACACAATGAAGATTATCTACACTGACAAGCTTTGTTTGTTTTGATTGCTGTAAATACATCGTACCTACATGATAGTCCAATCGGTCAATCACTGTAATAGGCAATAAACTGAGTTGACACGGATTAATCGAGGATTAATTACTGAGAACATCTTGTTAATTTGAGTAAAATGTGTTTACAACTGTACATAAATACCTTGCATCATCGATGTACCTCATTATCCTCACAATGCTACGATACGTAACCTCAGACAATAAGCGAAAGCGTGACGACAGCCATTGAAGGGGGCGTGGCCTAAATGCAAATGTCCGATTGGGATTTTAAATTTTCCGGACCCCTGCTTGGGACAAAGGCACGTGACGGAAAATTCCAGTGCGTGTATTGTAACACCATCCTGAAGGACACGTACATGAGGCGTTTAACCCACGCCAGTAAGTGTCCTGTGAGATGAAAGAGAACGATCCATCCTTGTATGTGTGGCACTGCAGTAATGTGGGTGAAGAAGTAAATGCAGCTACCACTGAGTCCAACGGCCAAAGTAGCAGGTGTTGCAGGTTTCATCTCCGGGTTTTTCTTTTACTTCCGTTTTCCTGTCTGCTGTTGTGGATGATTCAGTCTGTTTCCGCTTCCTGTTTCCTACAAGCTTTTCTTGATGTTGCTTCTTGGACAGCGCCACAAAAGTTTTCTTCTTCTTCAAGATCAAACGGCCCTTTTCAGGGCCACCCATCTCTCCGGAATGTACGCTTTCATCCTTGCTTTGACAACCCTCTTCACCATCACCACCCAACCACCCACCCACCAAACCAAAAACAAAGAACCCGCCTCCCTTCCCTCCTCCCTCCTCCGCCGCCTTCTTGGAGGCGCCGTGCCGCCATGTTGGATGGGGAGATGGCCCCTTGGAACTGGACGTGCCGCCATCTTGGAGGCGCACACCTCCCAGAACCGGACGTGTCGCCATCTTGGGTGCGCAACCGGAACCGGAAGTGCCGCCATCTTTGATGCGCGCCCCACCGGAACCGGACGACGTCATCATGACTTCACGCATGACCCACAATGTCCTGCGCAAGTCACAGGACCTGATGACGACATCAGAGGTCACGTGACCAAACCGACCAATCAGAGGCTAGGAGCAGTTTTGTAGCGCTGCACCTATAACTACTGATTTGGTTTCTTTTGTGGGTTGGTATATATGGATGCCAAATCCTGTGTGTTGTGAACCTGGTTCAGAGGACCCGTCTGTACAGAAGTGAAACCAATTTGGCCATTTTTTCGTGTATGTATGATCCTGTGATGGCTTTAGCGGTGTTGGGGTCGGTTTCTTTATTTAGTTTGGAGGAGAGTGTTGTGGCCAGGAGCGGTTCTGTAGTGCTGCACCCATGCAACTACTCAAATCTGTAGGCTCCCAAATAATTTATCAATTTTCACGGCCGAATAAATGGGAATGGCTACAGCTCTACATAACCCCCAAATTTAAAAGAAAACACACAAAAACTAATCCTAACTGATTCACTTAGTGGACTCCAAGCTATTGAAAACAAAAACACAAACAAATCGACCTAAATTCATTCAACAGATACTCCAAAGCTCCAACAAACTCTGCAATCTAGGTAAAGAAATAGAATCTGTCAGGATCCCTGCCCATGTCGGGGTGTTTGGTAGCGAACGCGCCGACAAAGCAGCCAAAGCATCACTAAAACTAGAAGACATAAGCATAAACCTACCAATATCTAAAAACGAGATTAAAGGTATCGCTAATAGTACACATCATCCCAAAGTGACAAAACCAATATCAGAAATCAAACTGTAAACTAAAACAGGTGCTCCATAAGCCACTCAAAACAAAAGTCCTTCATAAATAAAAAAAAATTGACAAGACAATAATTAAATTACAGACAGGACACACTAAACTCACATACACAAAAATCAGAAAATACTAAACAGGTAAATGCCCTCACTGTAACCTAATAGAAACACCTGAACACGCACTATTACACTGCACACACCACCAACACAGAACAACCCTCAAATCCACAATAAACTGTAACAACCAAATGCCAGGCAACACTTCTTAACGACCAACAAACCTTCAAAGCACCAGGCATTTTCCCAATTTTATTTCATAAACTGAAATAAGGTCTAAATGTGATTATCCCTGGCTTCCAGGAGGAAGTCACAAGCCTTTCAAAGTCACGTGAGAAAAAACGAGATCTCGTCCTTGATTCTCTGGCTTCCGAAGACGCAAGACGTTGAATTTTTCGTGCTCGTCTTGTGTCTAATATCGTGAGCAATCTTCGATGGTGTTTCGTCAGTCTTGCTGTTTTTGTGATTTTTCTTCTTGGCATAACTCTTTTCTTCGTTTTTTTGACCGTCATGAGATCGGATCATTCATCGGGTTCCGATGGCGAGAATGGAATTCCTGTTAGCCCAAAGCATGGACGCCATGTGCCTGTCAGCTATGAGGCAACAACGGCCGCTGGAACCAGCCACGAGGCAAACAATAACCAGAGCCATGAGGCAGTTGGTAACAATGGCAGACCTAATGATGTTGATTTGGAGAATCGAAGCAGGAAACAAAATAGGAAGGACTGGAAAGGCTTCACAATTCCAAAACGGGACCAAGCAAAATCGCGCCATCGTCATCGCAAAAGAAGTGACAGTAGCACTAGTAGTTCTCCTTCCGATAGCTCGTCATCCAGCTCAAGTAGTGACAGTAGTTCGTCAGAATCGTCAGTTTCGGAAGATTGTGAAACCAACAATTGTACTATTAGTACTGACAATCACCTGTATAAGCGGTTTAAGCCCACAGATGATAGGGCTGAACAAGAACTGTCTAACGAACTGCTAGATTATGCACAGATGAAGTGAAGATGAAGTTATCACCAAGAACATATTAGAGGGCTGTCCGACCCCAAAAGGATTTGTGCCACTGGTGCTTGATGAAGAATGGTCAGATATGTTGGAAGAAAAAAGATTTACTGCGGCTAAATCTGTTGAAGCAGGGTTGGGAAAAATCCAATCAAGACTACTCAATGTGATGGGACCACACTGTCAAGTGTGGCAGACCGTGGATAAAATCAGAGATAAAGGTGGTGAAGAGATTGATGTGAACGACTTTTTGAATTTAGTTGAAAAGACTGTTTGTTTGTTGGGACAAGCCAACGTTGCCACTACCTTTTATAGAAGACTGAACATTCTAACAAAGCTGATGAAAAGTCAGAAGAAAGCCCAGAAATTTCTCTTAAAGAATGAGAAAAAGTTCAGTGACAAGAAGGCCTTGTTTGGCAAAGTTTTTTACAAGAAATTGTTAAAGCTGTCCAAGGACAGAAAGAAGAGATTAGACATTGAGAGACAGTTTTCAGACTACAAAAACAAGAGCCACTATGGCTTCAAGAGCTCTACTAGAGGGTTTAACAGAGGAAACAGCTGACCCTTTCACAGAGGGCCCTCATCAAGTTACCAGGGTTACAGAGGTGGGGGCCGTTACAGTACCAACTCATTCCAGAAGGTGCGATTCACCAACTCGACTAGAAAGCGAGACTGTGGTGGCAGAGGCAGAGAGTGTTCCAGAGGAAGGTATGTATGTTTCACAATATCAAAAGGGAAACAGACTGCACAGTCAGTTACAGGACCTAGACTTTCAGGTCATTCAGGCAGATCCCAAACTAGGGGGGAGATTAAAACACTTCATGAAAAATTGGCAAAAGTTGACAAAGGATCATTACATTCTAAACATTGTTCAGGGGTACAGAATAGAATTTAATCAAATTCCTTAGCAAAAATCAGAACTAAAAGAACTAAAAATGCAAAAGTCAGAAATGGACATAATGTCTGCAGAAGTAACAAAAATGTTAGAGAAAGGGGCAGTGCAGTGGGTTTCTCCAGTAAGAAACCAGTTCGTGAGCACAGTGTTTGTGACCCCAAAGAAAACAGGGGGTCACAGACCGGAATTCAATGCAAAGAAACTAAACTGTTGTGTTGCTTACCAACACTTCCAAATGGAAGGAATAGTGACACTGACAGAACTAGAAAAACAAACAGGACTATAAGATTCCATTAACTGTAGATTTACAGGTGTTCTCCCTTTTTCTGGTCGAGGCCATATAAGTAATAATATATACTGAACAGCAAAAGTTCCTGTGACATTGAATAAGATTTAATGCAAAATTATGTTTTTTACCAAATCTGAAACAATTTCGGTTTGCAACAGATAAAAGACCCCTGTTAGTGTTTAAATGGTTTAATTTGCCATACTGACTTCAGAAAATGTGTGATTTCATAAAAAACATGAACATGCCAAAATGTCAATTTACAAATCAATAGTGTGTGTGTCCACCTCTGGCTGCAATGCCAGCAACACACCTTCGTCTCATGGAATAGACCAGGCGTCACACAAAGTCCTGTGGGATATCTGTCCATATCTGCTGGAGCATGTTTGAAGTTCCTACTGTGTCTGTGGAACACGTGGTTGACGTCGAAGGCGTCGATCCATATCATCCCATATGTGCTCGATTGGTGAGAGATCAGGGGAGTGAGCCAGCCTGGGGATGACATTCACAATGTTTCGTTGAAGAGAATCCTGAACAAGTCGAGCAATATGAGGCCAGGCGTTGTCATGTTGAAAGGTAATGCCTGGGCCATGACGACGGAAAAACAGTAGAACAACAGGGCCAATGATCTCGTCGCGGTAGCGCTGTCGATTGAGATTTCCCTCTACCACTATCAAAGGGGTCCTCTGTCTTGCTATAATCCCACCCCATACCATTATGCTGCCACCCCCGAACAAGTCTTCTTCCATGACACAACGATTGACGTAACGTTCACACGAATCCGTCCATCGCTGTGGCTGAGGTGAAAACGAGACTCGTCAGTGAATATAACTTGTCCCCACTGCATGGCCGTCCAGCGTAGACGCTGTCTACACCAGTGTAGACATGCTTGATGGTGGTTCCTGTCAAAATGGGACATCTGGCGGGTCTTCTGGCGACAATCCCCGCACATCTGAGGTGGTGACGTACGGTTTGTGAAGATATTCGTCAAAGGCCAGGGATGCTTCTTGCAGTCACTGTTGCTGGCTGGAATCGATTTCGTAGGTGTATTGTTCGAATCCAGTTGTCTTGTCGATTATTGGTTACGCGTGGCCTGCCACTCTGAGGATGGTTTCTGACTGCATTCATCTGTTGCCAACGTTGCCTTAAACACCAAATGGCTCACAGAGGCTCATTTTCGGACAAGCGTGGCGTTTCGTAACGTGGTAAAATTGCGTAATTTTGTTGTTTTTCTGAGTAGTTGTTGTCAGCACGATGCTAAACAATGCATATGGAATCCCGTTAACGCACATGTTTTTATACCCATTCTTTGGTGGTGAAATGCATGGGGCTTGCATAAAAGTCAACTTTTGCATCGAATGCATGCTTTTCTTTAGCAGTTGCGTTTTTGTGACTTGATTCCATACATGTACTACAATATTGAAAACCAAACTTTACTTGTTTGAAAAATACAGTAAAATATTGGTGTCACAGGAACTTTTGTTATTGAGTATAGTAGCTGGCAAATAAAACTAGAAAAAAGAAGTAGTGCTTATTACCATAGTTAATGTATGGAGATCTACTTGAATGTTGAAGTAAAATGTACATACTGATAATCTATGTCAGGCAGAATAGTTTCTTTTTGTCTTTGCTTCAGGAGTTCTGACATGGTGTACAAAGTATTAAAGTACTCACGGAAATGAATAAAAAACAGTTTGAATGCAGTTAATATACAAAATATATAAATATTCAAACAACTCAATTAGTACTAATTCGGCCTTGGCACAAATACAGCATATCAAAGGTTTTTATGTCTTTTTACACGTAAAAGTGTGTAAAAATATGAACAAAACAGACGATTGTGAAATTGAGCATAACCAGGTGTTAGTAGATCAAGGTGAATGTCCATGACCTATGACACCTTGACGACAGGTGAAAACAGGTGCTTGAAACCCACATGCATGTGATTTGTCAGTGGTTAGTGATTTGTGAGTGGCATTGTGGGATAGTGAATCATCATCAAAATATCAGAACGTAAAAGTAACATATTCCCTTCTCAAACATCAACTTACATGTCATTATTATTATGTACATAAACATAGCTGTTATTTTTATTGTTGTTTTGATAACTTTTTTCCAGGGTAATTTGCATAATGCCTATAGCCTGTTTCTGCCATGTCAGTTTGGACTTAGTTTAATTTTTGAATGTTGAAAGTGCCTACAAATTACCTCCTGTAAAGTACATTTTGTATTGAGCACTGAGATACAACTAGCAAATCCAGACCAGTACTTTTCTAGTTGTTTTGTTATTTCGTATTTACGTCTACGTAATGCTTTGTGTCGATTATTAAATCCTGCAAAACAGTTTATTTTTCATTTCCATGAGTACTTTAGTAAGAATTAGTCTTCAGGCGAATCATATGTCCTGTGATGAAAATATGAGGGCTATATTGAATTTTACTTATCGCGTACATGACGACACTTTCAAAGACATGTTAGAAGGGGTTACTTTGATCAGAAACATTATACTTCAAGGTCAAATTGTTGGTTCTCAGACTCGCTCCAAGAGAGCATTGCTACCTTTTATTGGTGAATTCTCACACAATTTATTTGGTGCCACCCTGACAGTGACGTGAATGTAATATGTCAATATATCAATATCTTATCAAACAGAATGAGAGCTGAAGAAGCAGCTTTTAATGTGTCACAGGATTACATGGGTCCGTCCATGTCTAAGGCCAATGACAGAATGGATGGTTTGAAGCAAGGTATAATTACATCATATTGAATTGACTGAACTGATAAAGGTAGAGGATTATTAGATACGATGGTTTCAGGCCATCTATGCACATTGGATACAACTTGTTGCAAAGGAGTTACATTTTGCTACTATGGTTGAAAGGAATATTAATCGGTTGAGCACAGGATTATATAAGTTGTTACAAAATGTACTATCACCTGAGTTGATACCTTTAGGACATTTAAGGCGTGCTCTATCAAAAAAAAGGAGAGCATTAGAGGATAAATATCCAAATTTCCATCTGGTTCATAAGGATTTGCCATACTATTACACAGCTACCAAGGTACATTACATAAGACATGACAATACTGTTTATGTCACTATGATGTTACCAGTAACATCCAAAGATAGGGAAACACAACTTTATCAAGTTAAGTCATTCCCAATTCCTCTAAATCACGCTTCTGGTGATGCCACAGTGGTTGGGGAGACAATACCATATATTGCCAATTCTACAGTTGACGAGACATTTTTGGAATTCACAAGTGATCAATATGAACTTTGCACTCCAAATCATATGCTTATAAAATGCCACAATCTACCAGCTCAAAGATCATTTCAAAATCCTTCATGCAATTTGGCTTTGTTCCTTACTGATATTGACTTGGTTCATGAAGTTTGTGAAATTGGACTTGTTCCAAATGGTGCAGGTCATTTTATGTTTGAACTAAATTCAGGTGACCTGTTGTTATCTGGAATTTCCAATATACCCTAGTTATACAGACATAATTAAATATTTTACAACCTCCGCAAAAGCCACCATCGTTTTCTGACAGTATTTCGCTCTGTTTAAGGCATTAGGCAATTCTTGTACTTAATACAGCAGTAAAGAATTTCCCAACACAGTTTATATTACCCTGGTAGTAGTAAATATTTTCATGATTAGATTAGATAATACCATTCAGCCAATATTCAGGTATTATTCCGCTGTTGAAAATTAATAACTTTTCCATACCAGGGAGTAGCTTTCCCTCAGCGAATTTTAAATACTCATTTGCAATCAACTCCAGTAACTTTAGGTGTCTTAAGATTGTGTATGA